GTCAGCTGCTTCAGAAATAGGAGAATAAATAAGAACACCTCTCTCTCCTTTCTTTAATGAAGTTCCTCTAAAAGGAAAAGGCTAAAAAGGCTTGGAAAAGATACTGGCTTATGTCTGTAGATCTGACATCCCCAGGATGTCTGCATTGCAAGACAAAAGAATCCTGGATGGGTTTTGCGCAAGCTCAAGCTTACTCAGCGTAACCTGGTGAGCGGACACAAGGGCTGTAGGGTGCCTGTAGATAATCCCAGCCCTACAGCCAGGATGTGGCCAGTGTCTAGCCATTATATGTGACAATAAGACACTGTGAGTGTGAGCTATGGCTTCTCGAAATTGTACTATGTTATCAGGAAAGTTAAAGTAACATTTTATTTTACTGCCAGTAAGCCCCCTTAGAGATCTTGCATCCTCATGAAAGTCCAGTGTGATCTTTCTGTGTTTTGCTGTTCTCTACCTAAACTGGATTTTGGCCCTTCGTATAAGAGCAGCTCTTGCATGCTGGATTTAGTATTGTCAAGCAATATGAAGAATCTCAGTTCTTTGCAGTAGAAGTATGTGACAAATTCCACAGGGATGTTGAGACATAACACAGAAAGAAGCCCCTTGAAAAACATTTCCAAGCATCTCAAAAGACAGGTAAAATACAGGAATGTTTGTTTTACATGTGTACACCTATAAAGAACGGGCTGATCCTTCTCATTAGATAGAAGTATAAATAGATACAGAATTAGTATCTAATACAGAAATCCCAAAGAAATACTAAAATTTTTATGGTAACTTATCTTCCCCCTTCTTCCCCCTTAAGATTTGCTAGGTTATGTGCTGATTCCATTACTTTGTGTTTCTAATAATAGATATAGGAAGTAGGAGAAATGATAATGATACCACTGTTGCAGGAAGGCTACCTCCTTCACAATATAATCCACCCTCGCCACCACCTCCACCAGCAACTACTCTTCAGCTGGAAGGCATGGTAAGTGTGTTCCTGGAACAGAACTGTATTTGCTAGAAATGAAACTGAACTTCCTTGGCTGGAAGAGAGTCAAAGTATGAAAGGAAACCTGTGGATATGTTCAGATTGAACTGTGAAAATGAAGTGACTGGAGCACAGCTGCTGTGACTTGCTGTACTTTCAGTAAGCTTTGTTTTTTATTTTGGTGAAAATGCATTACACTAATGAAGACAAGGTCACTACAATAAGCAGAATTTGCTCTCCATGGTTCTTTATGTAAAAAAGCTGTTGAGTTTTTCTTAAAAACGCCTGAATTTTTAAGAAAATTTTTAAGAAAATACTCTGAAAAGAAGAAAAGCTGGCTTGACTTAAAGCTTCTTTTTTAGGGGTGTAACACACATAGGCACAAAGGGAACTCAGCGTATTGTCATGTCAGCTTAGCCAGATTATTATCTAGTAGCTTGGTTGTTCTGGACCTGCCCTGGAGTCATCCAGAAAACATTGCCACTGTAAAACCATTTCATGCCAAAGTGTAGGTTAAAACAAAGATGTGTGTGCCTCTCTCCTGATTTATCGTTCGAATAGTGACAAATGCTATTCACACCCTTTCTACAATTTTTAGACAAGTGATTTTAAATTAGCTAATAAACAGGAACAATAAAGGTAAAATATCTGCAAAGACATTAAAATTAGAAGGATAATTAGAATAGTAGAAAACCTGACTTTCTGAAGAGTAAAATTTCATTTTCTAGAAAGTTATATTCATTCTTTGTAAACTCTGGTTTTATTCACAGTTTTCTAGCCACTTTAGTCATGCAAGCACTTCTCAGACCAGGCTAGATTCTGATTCTCCAGTAATCATCACTAGCACAGCAACAGGATCTGGTGTGACATCAACTCAAAAACTGGTAACAAGCTCTAAAATTAACCTTTTTCTTTTTTTCTGTTTTAAGGTACAGTTATAACAAATATTAGTTTGGATATTGTCATTTCTGTATTTTTCAGAGCAACACAGATATGTAGTTGAGGACACTGCTGTAGAGTTTAAATAGCTGTGTGAAGACACTAGCTTTCAAATGCTCATTAATGTTACTTAAACCCATGTACACTAAGAGCAATTTTAAATTCATTTTGGAGTTGAGGAGGCAGAAGTGTAGCAAAATAAGCAACAGAAGAATGCATGTACACTTACATATAGTGCAATAGGAACAACTAGTGTTTGACTTGATACTCTTTTGTTATGGAAAGAGTATGCTTTGCTTCATTATCCTGCTGTTTGAAATGTTTTCTCATTCCTTTTTCTGTACTTGTTGCTAAACTGCTCTCCTTTCTTTTCCCCATCTGACACAGTTTGCTATCAGCTGTCAGAGAGAGATGCAGCATTATATGCATGGAAATTTTTTAGTATCTGCTCTGTCATTGCTAGAAAGGCTTTCCACATTGAAGTACCTTCAGCTGTCACTTGAGTATGCAGTCAGTGAGCAAAGCAAAGCTATCCATGCTGCTGGATTTTTGTCAAATTAGCCTAGCTCCCCTCAGGACAGAAGTCATTTGCCTGAAATGCTATATCTTACTTAGCATGGAAAAAGATGGTTGCAAGTAGGTGGAGCAAATTCAGTCCTGTGTAACATAACTGGACTACCTGCAACATCATGTGGTCCAATTAGGCACCTGGCAGATAAAACTAAGCAAAAATATTAGAGCACTGTAAATACTATGTTTAGAATTTTTTACCAACTAATATTTAATTTACTTATAGCCCGTGGCAAAAGTAATAACATCTGCTCAACAGAAAGCAGGAAGAACAATCACTGCTCGTATCACAGGCAGAGCTGATATGGGACAAAAATCCAGAACTTGTGGGAGTTTAGCTGTGATGGGAGTTGCTCCACCCATGAGTTCAGTCATTGTTGAGAAACATCATCCAGTCACTCAGGTAAGTCAGAATTATGCTTGTTACAGTATTCTTATTACAATACATTTGGTAACAGTTTAAAGAAAAATTATACTGTGAAGAGGTATTAGACAAAACTCAGACTCGAGTCCTGTTTAAAATAGCAAAACAGTACTTGCAGTCTTTGGGCTGGGTAGAAGGCTCTGCTGAGGAGATTGCCACTTTAATCTATTTGTTTTAGTTCTGTAGTAATTATTTCACAGGTATAGTAGTCTCGTATCTCTTCCTTAGCCAGCTCTTCCATGAGAAGTAGTTGATCCAGCAAGGTTTGGTGTCATCACCATGCCACCACAGTTCAAAGACGAGTCATGGTATAGAGCAGGACTGAAGCAGAGGTGGTAGAGGTATAGACTCACCTGACATGCTGAGCTTAAAAAATGGCAAGGGAGAAAAAGTAAAACCCTTGTCCAGAGGCAATCAAATTTGTCAAGTCTGCTGCTTGTTGTATTTTGAATCCTATTCCCTGTATTTATCCTGAAGTAAACACTGAAATAGTTGCATTCATAGGGTATAGAAGCGATATTTAAGAGTACTATAAAAGTGGCCTAAATGGCCTAGGCAGTCACTACATACAGACCAGTCTGAGCAAAAAATGGTTTTACCTGGAGGTATAGGGAACAATTGAAGATATTTTTTGTTATATTATAACCTGTAAAATAGGATCTGAGTTTTCTCTGTGTTTTCTGAAAGTCCGGTTTCTTTTCAGTGATACAGCCAGAGCAAGCAGAGCTACTTCATGTCCCTTAATCTGGCTGGAGTTACTGGTAGCTGTGTGAGGAATGTTCTGCTTTCCCCCATTTCCTGCAGTGACTCAGAGCCCTATGACAGGCTGCACGCAGCTTTCTAGAATTTGGGCTCCTAAGCAGATATTCATAATTAAATTGTATGTCCTTAGAGGGTTAGAGGTTCAGTGTGATAATTATTTCATTAAGAACAATTTCTGGATTCAGAGTGTGTGACTAGTGTCACAAAGAATGTACCTGAACACTGTATCAAAAACTGATTTCTGAAAATGTAATAAATGTGAAACCCCACCTCAAGATATATTCTGTATACTCTTTCTGCAGATAAATGCCTAAGTGGAAGACAATCAGATTGAAATATTTCTCTTGAGTTAATCTGAGAAGGGAGAGAGTTTACCTTGATTAAAAGCAGAATGAATATTGTTTATTACACTAAGGTGGCTAGTTTTTTGTGCAGAAAATTAATTGTTGATAAAATTGCAAAACTTTTCCTTTCAGAGATCTTTCAGAGGCTTCCTCATAGCAAATAATAAGCTTCAAAAGGAAAGCTGGCATTATGAAATTAGCACTACAGAGGAAAATTCTGAATGATTTGGTAAAAAAAACCCAAACGAACCAACCTTGAAATAAGATTGAGGTGATAAAAGCTCAAGATAGCTAGTTAGAAGTTTAGCACTTTGCATTCTAAAAACTGTATTACAGATAAGAAAGGAAAAAATTACTCGTTCTGTTAAAGTAACCCTTTTTTTTCTATTTTGGTAAGTGTATTTCAATTTGCTAGATTGCAAGTCTTTGTTTAAACTACAGCTCAGCTGGGGCTAATTTAACGGGAATTTTTTTGTACCACTAAGTGTTTTGATGTATTTGATTACTTTTCAGCAAACTGTATCGCAAGCCACTGCTGCTAAATATCCTCGAACTGTGCTCCATTCTTCTGGCTCTACCACTGCGAGACCTGCAGGACAAGCTGGGCGAATGCTTCAAGGCCAGACCTCTACCAGTGTTCAGTCAATTAAAGTTGTTGACTGAGTGAATATCATTATCACCGGTGGGGTTTTTTTATCAAGGTACCTCCTCCCAGTCTTTTCAGATTTGATGTAGTAGGGCCTAAAGTCCGTATCATGTTTTTACCCTTTGCTAAAAAAAGGGTTTTTTTTTAAAGTGCTTTTGTAGTAAACATCTGGAGGGGAAAAAAACTTGAACTGTTGTTCTACCTCCAAACTACTTGAGAACTTATTAAGATAAACCCTTTCTATTTAAGGAATCTTTTGCACACTTTTAAATAAAGGATACAATGTGATTTTTGTCTGAATCTCTTTGTTTAGTTCCAATGATACTAACATCTGTGTTCAAGAGAAAATTAAATTTATTTTTGTTATAAATGCTTTTAGTTGCTTATGTGAGTAAGTGTAATTGACATGCACCTTAATTATATCCTACATCTTAGTGTACTTGAATGAAGAACAACAGGGTGGTATCCTTCACACCCCAGGGTGCAGCTTGGGCCAGGTGAGGTACTGAGTCCATCAAATTCTTAAACATTCTCATTTTTCAAGCTAAGGTTGCAGAACTTGATGCATTCCATAATTCGAGGATTTACCAGCCTGTTCTTCATATTCTTATGATGCTTTGCAGACATGTCAAAATAGGTTGCACACAAGAGGGCAGTTTGGTGTAAAACTTCACACAAAGATACAGATTATCTTTTTAGTACAAACAATAGGATTCAGTCCAAAATAAAGCAGATTATATACAAACAGAAAAGGTGATTCAATTCTTCCATTACTTGATAAAAATATTGCTATGTTGTTATAAAGAAGATAGAGGTTTTACATAATTTTTCAGATATGCAATATATTAAATGAGAAAACCTTTAAATATGTTCAGCAAGGCACTACCAATATTAATTCAAGATATGAACAAGAAATAGGTAGATAATTTCTAGATGTGTTAAGTATTAAATATCAAATGTTCTTTTTGGAGTATGTATACAGCATGACAGAAGATTCTGTAGCCAGACACACTTGAGTTTAGACATGACATTTTTGTGTATTTTCACTATATAATTCAAATGCTGAAGAAGAATGACTTGTCATAATCCTAGGAAGACTTCATGAAAAGCTGAATCTCAGATGAGGCCAGGTGCCAGCCTATTTCTGGAAGAGTTGATTTATTTATACTAATAATTTTTACTTATTAAATTTGACCTTTTTCAGGTAGAAAACATCTTATTTATATTTCATGTCAAACATAAAATTAATTTGCAGTTCCAGTATGGAATTAGTGTATCAATGTTAAGTGAGGTGTAGAAATTGTAAGGGGTGGCTCTTGCTTAGGAGTATAGTCATAAATCACCAGTCAGCCATTCACTCTTAAATTCTTTAAATTGTTGCATAGCAAGCATTTGACAAAGAAGTAACCTACATTTCAGGAGTGCAAGTTCTTCTAGCTTGGAAAACGTTGTACAACTTCAAAATAGGTTTTTGTTTCCAGAAATTATTTGAAAGTCACTTTCCATCTGGCATGTAATTCCACCATATATGCCATGTTTTATTGATGAACTCATGAAACTGCACATTTTCTGGAGTCCAGGCCAGTGCTAATTGAAGTTCTGATCTTCTCTGTAAAGTAAGAGAGAACACTTGCTTGGCATGCTCTGGTTTTTACAAGGTCAGACTAATCTAACTGAAGAGTTGCCAGTTACAATTTAACCATGTGTGCAAGACAAAGGAGAGAAGCAAAGTTTGCACATTTTTGTCTTCCTTTAGAAATCTCAAGTCTCACTTAAATGCTTTTTCTCAAGCAGCCTCACCCCGCAGCAAGGGCAGAGTCCCAGAGAGGAAGAGTGTCTTCCAGCCCTGCCACAGTCACACCATCCCAGCACCAGCGGGGACCTCGGCACCACACTGCAATCTCCTGGAAGACAGTGTAATGGGCTCTGTATCAACTTACCAGCTAAAGGCTGAAATCCTGCTGCCATGAGATCTTCATATAGATGTTTGACAGGATTCTGATGAGCCAGCAGCGTCCCATGTAACCAGATGAGCAACATTCTGTTTCCATGTTCCTTGTAACTTTTTTTCCCTATGCAATACACAAAGTACTTGTTCAATATGCTGGAAACAGTGTATTTTGTGCTTTTGCACTTTTAGAGTTGCAAGAGGATTTAAAACCTGCTCAGTTATTTCCCTCTCACCTAGAAGAAAAATGAAGATTGATGCTTATAAAAGTTCTTTAGAAAAATCCAGTTTCATCCTAACGCTACTGTTCAGAGAGAAAAAAATCCTAATACATCTTAAAATTAATTTTTCCTTTCATTTTTGCCCAAGATGTGGAAATACATCCTAGAGTAGCAGTGAACAAGTATAATATGTGCTGTAGAAGTACTGTTTTACCAGCACTTAATGTGCCTGAAACCAGAAGCTACTGTTTCATGGCAGCTGTGCAGACAGAGCATGAACAAGGTCTGTCTGTGTCATGAGGTTTCCCAGGTCCTCATTTGCAGCATGACCTGCAAGACCCTTCCATGCTGCTCACTGCTTCTGGTTTTGATCTCCCAAGAGGAAGGTTTTTTCAGGCCAAAAGGGAGAGCAGAAGTGGCCTGTAGTGCTACAGCACTGCTTCCTGGGAACTAGGGACAAGGCTTGTATCCCTTCACTGTGATACTCACAAAGTTATAAAGCAGCATTGCACTGTGGGTTTTTTTAGCCTACATATTATGTCTGACCATTCAGATGTTACTACCTGTCCACTGTTCTTCAATGGCTTTAATTTGTTCATCTGTGAACTTCCAGAATATGGCCAGTTTTTTCCATTCACGGGGTTTTAACTGGTTGTATGCTAGATTCCAAAGGGAGGAACGGATTTGCTTGGTCTGTATACTGTGATCTTGTTTGAAGGACAAGCTGAAGTCTGAGCCATCATCGCTATGAGCCAGATGTGTCTGAAAAAGAAAGCAGGTGATAAATCTTGTAAGAAAACCTTTGCTTACTGAGTAGTGAATGGTGTCCTGGACAACCAGGTGTAGCTACTGACAGGTGATTTGCTCAGTGCCTTTAAAGGAACCATGTATGGCTCATAGAAACAGAACTGACAAAGTCCTCCCTTTGCCGCTATGCCTTACTAAATTAATTGCAAAATAAGCCACTTTCTTTCTCTGGTATTTGATACACAAAAGCAAAGTAAGAGCAAATACTGTGCCAGCGCTGCTGTGCTCCTTGACTCTGTCTACTTCATATGTCACATTTTGAACATGGTTGGGTTTCAGGCAGAGTTCTTACTCTTTCCTCTTGCTTCTAGAAGTGCTGATCTTCCTCTGAGAAGAGGCACCCACCCTCGGTGAGGCACTTGCTCAAGCTGTTCCTACCTCTACCCTGTCAGCTTCATGTGGCTGAAGTGGGGACTTGCAGATTCTTTGCTGGCAGCATGAGCTATTGGTTTTAACATGCAGAACCCCATTCAGCAGAATGCCTTAACAGCAATACACACATACACTTTGAACCTGAATCTGGTTTCATTGCCAGATAGAAACCAAAACCAAATGGATTTCCTCCAGATTAAGTGATGTTGCTACTGTATGTGTAGCTCACCTGAAACAGGAGTGATGGGGTTGCTTCTTGTTAGGGCACCTTTGCAAAAACCATGTCAATCAGTGATTTGCTGAGTGGTGCCCAGGGAACAGTCTCATTCCTAAGTCGGAAAGCTCAAACTACTTCTATATTTCATTTTGTTTATGTACTGGTCCTGTCTCAAATCAATCTCCAAAGGGAAAAAATGTCTTCAGGATTTGATAGAGTTGATAGAGGATTACAAAGCAGGTACTAAGCAAAAAAGGAAATGAAAGCGTGCCCCATTAAAAAGTGCTAAGCATAAAGTGCTTCCTTCCAAATTAAATTCAGAAAAACAGGATTATTTCCTATACCTTATGAGAGTCTTAAAGAAAAAAAATAGTCTCAGTTCAGTAACTAAGCATTATCATGCATGTTTGATTCCATTCATTTCATGCAACTCTAAAAAAATGTTTGCAGCAGCACAGCTTCACTTTGCTGCTAATTCTGTTTGAGGCAATGGCAAGATGGGGTAGTAAAAGCAGCTCTCAAATCCAGTCAAATCCAGCCTGGACAATGATAGGGAAGAGTTGGGTAGAAACAGTAAATAGGAAAAAAGGTCAAACAGAGAGATGACACTCACGCATTAGTATCATGTGCCCTTCCTCACAGCTACATGACATTTCCTTTTGTAACTAATACTTTGTCATAGATGATAAGTCAGCTCAATGTAACAAAAAGACAGTTCTTAAAATAATGGTTTCAAATGGTGTAGTTTCCTGTGTGGTAACACCACCTGAAAAACATCATATTCCACAGCTGTAAGATCTAAGCTGCTCCCAAAGGCTGTCCTCTCAGCTTCAGGCAATGGGATACAAGCACTTATGTTTGTATTTCCAAACATCTCTGGTGCTGTTGTAGAAAACCATCTGCTTAACTATCTTTTTTTCTCTTCAGGCAATTTAGTACACAATGCCAAGAGGTTAGGAGCTTTATGGGCTTACTGCTTTCAAACTTGTCATGTCTTCTGTGGCAACAGCTGACTTCACTTCTAATTCCTCTTTAAGCCAAAAGAAACAATAACATAGCTGACAACTCCAGCTGAAGTGGTGCAAATCAAATATGCACAATACAGGGTGTTGGGGGAGGCACTTTTCATGATAATTAATCTAGATCCGTGATTTACGAGCCCTTTAACATTAAGTGTCATTAATTTGGCCACACAGGGCAGGAGTGGGGTGGTAAAAGCAGCTAATTCTGTACCTGCACTGGGATGGGATCAGTATGCTTATAGACTTGGCTAACTTAGTGAAACAAACACTTCCTGGCAGGAAGCAGGAGTGAGAATGAAGTCACAAATTGGTATGGCAATTTGGCCCTTTAGGGAGGCCCAGCACTATGCAGCCTACATTTAAGTAACAACTAGGGAAAGAAAGTAAGAAATTCAGACAATCTAAGCTGTGTCCTTCACTTGTTGCTTTATTCTTTTCCATTTCATTGATTTAATTTTATAATTAATACAAAAGGAACAGAACAGGGAGCTTCTGCCAAAGCAACTGAGCCCTTGGTAACAAAGGAGTGACAGACATCTGCACTCCACCATTTTCCAACCACAGATTCTACTGTACCAAAGGATGCAGGGATCAGCGTGGATCCAGATTATCTCAGCTCTGATGCTGATGGCACAGATTGAATTTAGTTTAGAACCTCCCTCCGCCCCTTTGTCTCTCTGTGTAGAGCACAATGCAGGAAAATGTTAAGATCTGCCTACATTTTTAACAGCTAGTCAGGAATTAAGCCTGCATCTTGCAGCCTGCCAAAAGGAACTACCTCAAGCAAAAGACACTTCAAAATCAGAATTGGCTTTTCCTTTATCGCTGTATTCAGTGTAATGAAAGATGCCTCTTACCTCTTTCATGGTGTAATACCTTTCTGCTTTAATGATCATATCTACAATGAGGGCATGATTGCTCCTTGATGCCACAGCTAGTGCAGTTTTTCCATGCTGAAAGTAGAGATAGTGAATCAGAACATTATCTCAGGTAAGTGTATCATAGAAGAAATGCAAAAACAGTTCACAGAGACCCTTTTTTTTTTTTTTTTTTTTTTATTTACTACAATTTTATGGCTTTTGAGTAACTACAGTCCAAATTCCATGCTCTGCATGAGCTCTGTCCCCTCAGCCCAGCGGTGGTCAATTTCTCTCACACTGGAATTCCCTCTAAAGAATTTCTAGTGAGGTATGGCTGCTTTCAGAAACCTCTTGCACTCAGACTGCTGCATACTTCACACCAGCTTGCACTCTCCAGTCACTGCTTCCAAGTTCACACAAGCCTGGGCATCTCGAGTTGAAAATTACCACAATACAATCCATTCCCATGTAATAGTTAAACTGGCATTTCAGATGATGGGCTGGCAAAGTTGGAAATTGACTTTAAGGGCAAACTCGTGCCTTGTTTTATTTGGTAAAAGAGGTTGGCTCACAGAATGAAAAGAGAATTACTTTTCTCATGACAACTGAAATAAGCACAACCATAGGATGATGCTTCATGGGTAGTATGGGCAGCCACAGTAACTGAAAGCCATTGCTTTAAATCCAGCTGCAGAGGTCTGCTCAGTCTACCTGAACCCATCTCTGCTGTCAGCACTTAAGTGTAAAGGCATCTCAGTGGCTCTAAAGGGTTAATTCTGGAGTAGTCTGTTCTCAGATTTGTACTGAGTGTAACTGCCTTGGATTTAAATATTCAGGGTGTTCTCCACATATCAAGTGCTAGGCATTCTAGAAAATTAGACCTAACAGAAGCTAACCTCTTAATTAGAAGATGCAGTAATGAAATTATAAGGTATTTCAACTATCTAGCTGCTATAACGTTCCCTAGTATACACTTTTTGAGTTGTAGCTCCTAGTTCTGCTCACGATCATTCTCGTTTTTAGAAAAGCATCACGTTGGAAGCCAATGAATTTACATTTCATTAAATCTTTAAGGCATAGGCTTCCTTTATATGTGAAGAGTCCAGAGACCATAAGAGCTCCATGGGTTCCACCTCTAGAGGGGTGCTCTACATTTCACAGGGAGGCAGAGGGGGTAGGTGTTTCTGGCCTCCTGTGCTGGTGCAGGCATGCTGGCATCCTGCATGCACATGTAGCATAGCAGTCTTGCACACAGGGAGGTCTCTGTACACTGTCACTCACAACCAAAGACAGTTTTATCTGCAGATGGGAAGAAGGAAGAGCTCCTGAGATAGCATTTCCTTTACTCTAACAGCTTGCAACTCATGCAGATGTGTGACGCTCTGGAGACTGAGGACTCCTGCTGCCAGGGTATGGAGGCCAGGCCAGGCTAGGACAACAGGACAGGACAACACTGTGCAACAGAAGCAGGCCTCCCTGTTTCCTGTCTACTGTTTAGTCAGTTTTGGCATCTCAGCACCAATTCAGTTCAAAGGGGACTGTTCCCAGTGGAGGCATGGCCTCAGAGGTCATCCAGCAAACAGGCAAGGAAAAAGCTACTCCAAGAAATAAAACCAGTGCAGAAAGGTGACACAAGTTGTACTGGTTCAGAGCCAAATTCTCATAACAAGTCATGAACTCTTACCAAGATTGCTGTAATACCAGGACACTATCTATCCCAAGACTTGTAGGTGCTTAAGGTCATAATAAACAATAGTTGTCTGTGTCTGCTCTTAGAATACAAAGAGGTTGAGAAAATTGGCTAAGGTGCTGTCTAAAGTGAACAAGATTTCATTCTGGATTAGCCCATATGAGAACTGCAGCTCTCTGGCAAGTGTAGGCATCATTCTGAATGAAAAAGCTTAATTATAATGCAGCATCTTGCCTCAGCCTTCCAAAACACATCAATGCCCATGCTCAGAGCCCCAAGCCTCATGTCAGGCTAGGGAAAAATGAGACAATCCTAGTTTGTAAAGCTTCACTTCTCATGAGGACAGTTTTGTGAAGGAAAATTGCTTTTTATAAGTTACTGAAGAGCTAGATTTTTCTCATAATAAGCATCAAATCCATCAATTCAAATCCATCAATTCATTCATACAGAAAATCTGTAATAGCGGTAACTGTAAAAACGGGAAATTCAATCTAGCACATTTGTAAAAACTGGGTTTGGTATTCTGTCCTTTAAAAAGCACTTGCCTATCAACTTTGCCTTGGTACTTCTTCCAGCCATTGCTCTTCTTGCCTCAGTCTTTCCAGGCTGAAGAGTATAAACCAGAAAATAAAATCACATAATCCTTGTGTGTGTGAGGAATGCAATTTACCTTATCCATGGTCTTGAGATCACAGCCTGCCTTAAGCAGCACTTCCACCAACTCCACATTACCAAGATCAGCTGCCAAATGCAGAGGGGTTTCCTGCCTCTGGAATTATAGACACCAAATAAATGTAATACATCACACTCCCTCCCAGAAGGAGAATTCTCTCAGACTGAATCTAAAATAAATGTAATACATCAAACTCCCTCCCAGAAGGAGAATTCTCTCAGACTGAATCTAAAATTGATTCACAACAAGAGGCAGCCTTAGTGAGAAAACACAGAATGAAATAATTTAACTTCTGAGTGATCTATCTGCCAGTTTTATTTCAGGTAAACAAGACAGCACATGGATCTCTGTAGGAAAACCAGACAGAAGTTCCAGCTGGCTCAGGAAAAGTTGCTGTAATGCCCCTCTAATGTATCATAAACTAACAAGTTCTCTCTCTCTTCCCTCTTAAAGCAAGGTGTTTTGGACAGAGTGCTTCATGCAACTGCCAACCGGCATCAATATTATCCTCTCAAGTAACCTCTTCCCTGCTGAAATGCTTTCCAAGACAACTAGACATCCATAATTTTCAACATAATGATGCAACATCCACAACAGGGCTTTTTAGTGAGCCCTGCCACAAAATGATGATAAGTAGCAAAAGTCTACCTGTTTCCTGATGAGTTCAGTGAACCTTAACTATACCACCTGAGAATCAACTGCCTCTGGGTGAATTCCTGTGTGGCATTTCCAATTAGTTGTTTAACCTTATAAACAATAACCAAAATCACACTCATAACACACTCTAGTATGAACACTGTGATTACACAAGGATATTCAAGGAACCAAGTAGCTGTTACAAGAAGGTGGGGCAGACCTATCATGGAGGATAAGAAGGGGTAGTGCCATTTGTTCCTCTTTCAACAAAGCACTTCTCCAAGGAGGAAAGGGAAATGGTGTAATTGTTGATTTTCTTCATGAGAGTACCCAGATAGTGGCATTCTAGGGCTCAAAAATACCAGATTAGGCACAAGGCCAGTGCTTTTATCATCACCCTCACAGGCAAAGAAATACAAAGAGACAAACAACACAACAAAAGCAGAAAATGGTAATTAACAATTATATGAGGATTTGTACAGCAAAAAAGGGATCAAGCATGACAGCACCAAAGTAAATATGACACACATCAGCAGTGGATGTGTGACCTACAGTGAACTCACCAACAACCAGCCAGGTCTCCAAAGATCACTGGCACCAAGTAGAGGCTAAAGAATCCTGGCAAAGGTGGGGAAAACATGTTGCTGTCTCTGGGTGGGCTCAAACCACTATCTTTTCAGTTAACAGCTGAACATGCTAACTGATTGCATCACAGAGACTTATGACATCATCATTCAGGGTGTTGCTGTGTAGTGTGGAGCAGCACTTCACTCAGCTCTGCTCGGCTGTGTCCCCTCTCAGCTCCCTCAGCACCCCCCTATATTGACCTAGGGGCACGGAATGTGAAACAGAGAAGTCCTTGGTGCTGTTCAAACACTGCTCAGCAACAGTTTTAACTCTGGTGTCTTACCAGCTCTGGTTTGGTCACAGATCTAAAACACTGCACCCCGTGGGTTGCTTTAAAAAAAGATTAACTTCTTTCCAGTCAAATGCCACGCTGCACTGGGTTTCCCTCTGAGGTCAATACCATTGAGACAAATATTTCTGTTGTTTATTGCACATGAACCGTAACACTTGAACAATAAATTAACCCATTATCCTTATCTTGCACAAACAATATTAGCATAGCATGTACCAGTGACTAATACAAGCAAAAAGATAAGGAGAGAACCGCCTCTTCCTTCCTTCTTTTTTGCACTCTGAGCTCATAAGGCAAAAAAAAAAATTCAAGCAAAATCCACATAATCTCTTCTTTACCAATGAAGTTGTGTTAATTCCCAGTTTTTCTTACATTGTTTAAGGAATTTATATCATGATTGGCATCCAAAAGGCTTTTTACTACTGGTAGATTGTTACCGATGACTGCTAAATGGAGAGGGGAATTCTTCTGCTGTGGAGGCAAAATAATAAACTGTTATACTTGGGTACATTATTAGAAGTTTATTCAAACAAGAAAGAGGTTTTAATTGAAGACTACCCATTGCAAAGGCAATATGCTCTAGCAGAGCTTCAAGATTGCAGAAAACACATCTCAATGTGCAGTTATACCAGAGATGGTAGCCTGCTCCTACACCATCAGGTAGACAAATACAGCTGAGAAAACGGAAATATGGAGTTGCATCAGTGTGTCACCATTTAGGAATGTGGCAAGGCTCTCCTCTTAAATGTTCCTACCTGGGATGTGCTGCTATCCTTGGCAGAGAGATTAGGGTAATGTTAGGGCTCCCTCAGAACATTGGGTTTGCCCTTAGTTGAATAGCCTGAAGACAGATTTATTCTGTATTTGGTAAACGAATGTCAAAACCTACTTTCCAGGAACAAACACATCGCTGCTGGAAATATTCTTTGTACTAAACTGACTTGCTGTCATATTTAGAGCAAGTTACAGCTGGTAAGAAATTAAGGGGTTTTATTTGAGTGATTATTTATTAAAGTAACTGGGCACAGGTCCAACACCAGTCACAATCCAATCATCAGGTTGGCAAGTTCACTTTGGATGTTGAACCTGTGACTCATCAATTTCTTGTGAAATACAGTTAAAGAATAATTCCATACCAGTACCATTCATGGATGCCAGACACCAGTTCGGTGTCTTTATAAAACACAGCCATTTCTTCAGGGCTACAGAAAAATAAAGGAAGCTCTTATGCAACACCCTGCTGGAAATGTTTTCAAAATATAAATTATGATTGTATGAGTTGCTTCTCCTACAGAAAGCCAATGAGAACAAGTAGCAAAACAACTGCCCAAACTTTAAATCATTTCCAGCACATCATAAATTTTTCTTCCTTCATAACTTCCTGCAATAGGCCAGTGGTCACTGCCTAAGTCATGAAGCCAAGATGCCATTTTCATCCTGTGCTGTAGAAATGGAAAATAATTTCCTATTCATAGCAAATCTCAGGTGTAACAAAAACTCTAATATCTAAACTGAGAGAAGATTTGCATAATATAAATACCCCTTCTTTTTAAATCCCAAAGAATGGTGGCAGGCAGATTTTGAGGCCATTGAGTGTGCATTTACCTTCAAAGGGTGACAACACCAAAGTGTTTATGTACCTTCTAGTTATCTTTATTCAAAATCCATTACGAGTGTTAACTCTTTGCCCACAGCACACAGGGCGGCCTGCTTTGCTAGTTCAAGCAGGGTACTTTGCTCATCTTCTCCTTGGCTTAGCCTGGCCACGTCTACACTGCACTGGACTAGTCTGCTCAGGCACTCCCTGGATTGTGCAACAGGACCTTGTCTCTATTGGTCTATACATGTTGCTAATCAATACCCCAACTAAGTGATAACACGTATAGTATAAAATTCAAGAAGCTACTCAATCTCCTTCAGCTGTCTGAATTTCAAGGAAGGCCACAAAAGACAGGACAGGCTGAGCAGCAGCAGAACAGTTATTCCGATATACACTCACCTCGGGTTTAGGAACCAGGTCAATATTCTTATCAATAAGAAAAGTAACCAAGGATAGATGTCCATTCTGAATTGCAACCTGCAAAGCACTGCTATCATTCTGAAAGAAATTTTGATAGACAGCAAAAACTTACATTTTTATTGCTGAAAAAAAACAGTACTAAAAAGAGCTACCAATATACGATAATCTTCCATCTAAGTTTGTGTTATTATCCTCTCTGGAAAAAAAAAGACCCTTTGATAAAATGATACAAAAACAAGTGGACCAGCAGTCAGGATGATGTACATGTGCTTTTGTCAATAGTGAAGGAATTTCCCATTTTTACTATATCACAACAAATATGCTAAAGAACACCAGTATCCAACAGCCCTTTTCAATTGTCATCTATACTGAGCCATGGACAACAACAATGTCAATACATGTCCTAGTCTGTTAGTTAGCCTGTTAGACCTTTACCAAGCAAGTACACTCACATTAACAAACTTTAAAAATAAATCCATAGAACATTTTTACATAATAATTCTGTGTAAACAAACAAGCTCTCAGTCTACTGGAATCATAATCCTCTTGCAGCAGGCAAGCCAAGGCCATTCAGCAGATGTGAGTTGGACCAAAGTCCAGGAACCAGATGTGGATAACAAGAACAAGAACATCAGATCAGTCACTGCCAAAACAGAGGATTTTCAGTTACCCTAGTCTGCTACATTTTCTGGTCATATGATGTACTATTGGGCATACAGTAAATAAACTCCACCACAGTACTCTTTCAAATAAACATAATGCTATTTTTCTTCCACATCAGTTTTATTCTATTAGTACTCTCTACATTCCCCATTCTATTTTATTATTTTTCCCCATTTCATAAAAATAAGCAGAGCAAATGCACTTTTAGTACACAGAGAAAAGGAAATATAATGTCCTCCCCACTGCCTGGGATGTCCCACTATCTGTGTGTTGTGTACATACCTGAGTTAAAACATTGATGTCACTCCCTGCATCCAGTAAGAGTTCAGCACATTTTTCATGACCTCCTTTAACAGACAAGTAAAATGGAGTTTCTCCATTCTAGACCAAAAGAGAGAAAATGTCTGTTCCCATTTAAGCCACATGAGTAAAAAGACTGTGACACAAAACACCTCTGGTAGGCTCGATCAGGCTCTTCCAGCTCAGTAGAAAAGGTGAGTTGGTCCCAAGAGAACACAACCTGAATGCTCCTAAATTAGGACTTGAATGATGTGCCAATTCACCAACAGTTCAGTGACAGATGGCATTTATGTGGACAGAGGTACAGTAACATTTAATGATACAGAAAATTATTTAATAACTATTCATATATTAATATTCATAAATATTAATCGTGTTATTTTCAAAGAAGACTGCTGAAAACAGGCACAGAAACAAAGATGACGGGTAGCAGCTGTTCCTGGTCAGCAACAGCATGATAGAACATACAGTAAATACTGAATTCTGTCAGTATAATGCCATGGATTTCTCACAAATTGCAAACACCTAGTGCTACTTATAAGGAGGATTTTTAATAGAAATAATCTTATTTCATATTTATTTCAAATCTTCTCACACCAAAAGAGTCTCCATGTCTCCACAACAAGTCTCTAAAATAGCTTACATCAGCTGCACAATGATCTACTCCCTGCTTCTAAACTCCTAAAATACACAAAGGTTTAATAAAAATTACTCTAGTGTTTTAACATTCACAAAAGCTTTAATAAATCCTATTTGTACGTTGCTTAAAATCCTCACACCATTATTCTGGTAAACTGAATATATTTTAGTACTTTGCTCATGCTATGGAAAGAGAGATCGGTTTCTACACCACCCAGAATATGTCCAGCTGGTGGGGAAGGTCACTCCATTAGCCATGGCAAGGCAGGAGCACAAGCAGTACAAGCTTTGTATGCAGAAGCAACATTCTTAGACAAGGCTTGGAAACAAAAGGGCTCCACATTTCAAAGAGGCTTGTGTGCCTCTTCAGCTTGCATAGCTGAAAACAGCAGATGAGTTGGGTAAGAGAGAACCTCTCCACCCACAAATCTGTTGCTGATAAAGGAAGAAGAGGGCCTCAGGTGGGAGTGGGTGTTCCTTACTCATTTCACCCACTGGGCCAGCAGAACAGACGATCAGCCACACAGTATGTTCCCACAGTGGGCATGACAGCCCACTACAAAGGAAATTACCTTGCTCAGTTTGTTCTAGCTACCCCACAGAAGAAACAGAAGACACAAAGACACTTTGGAAAGCAGGAAAGCTGAGATGAGCAGCTAGTGTGCATTTCCTTTCTCTACTCCTTGTTTAAGCCTCAAAATTAAGCTCATGACTCCATCAACTCAAGCATACAACCTTCACAGCTAATATGCAACTGATGAGTATGTCGGCTGAGCTCACCAACACTAACCCAGGAAAGCAAAAGCGGGTAGGCAGTGTTTGAGCCAGTTTCACACAGGCAACAGAGTTCAGATGGCAAGGTGCAAATCTGAGACCTCCTTGTGAGGTATCTATGATGGTAAATGCTTGGTATGCAAGTTGAACTGGTCCAGTGAATAGCTTGAAAAGCACCAGAGATGCTATATGTGAGATGTTAAAAGGAATGGGATCACATGGTTAAAAATGCTGAACAACAGAAAGCAAAGCGGAGGTTAAGGCCCTTCTGTGTTTTCTTCTACCAGCAGTTATGCAAGGACATGCCAAATGGAGGGGAGGTCATTGTGTGAGGAATAGAGGACAGAGGAAGAGACATTGAATGAGTTAATAGAGGTGACTTTATTGGACAAGGAACAAGGAAACAGGAGCAAAGGTACTAGAAAAGCAGCAGAACTAAGGAAGTCCACTCAGTGCCACATCTATTCTTTTGAATTATTTTTTTTGGCAATTTTTCATGTCTCTAATTTTATCTCTTTCAATAGTTTCAGTGTCCTTACCTTATTGAGGTCATTTATTTCCTCCCACTGTTCAAGCAGAATTTCTACAACTTCACTGTGACCATTTTTGGCTGCTAAATGCAATGCTGTGTTTCCCTCCTTGAAATTAGAAAGTCAAATAAAATTTCAAAACACAGAATAAAGTAAATATCTTAACTAAAACCAACACAAAGCCTTTGGTCCTTTACATACAATCCTCTCTTACGTACAAGGAGAAGGAGGAAGATCCACAAGACACATTCCAAGACTGAGACTAACTGCAAAAGGGCCTTTTCACATGTAGGCAGACATGATCTTGTTGATCTAGCTGGTTTTCTGAAAACTTCTGCATGTACAGCAAAAAGACTGGGTTCCGCAAAAATGGGTACTACATCAAGATTAATGGCCAAAACCTGGGTAAGCACATTTGTAGTTGTGTTTCTATGCAAAAGAAATCTTTACCTTATCTTTTTCAGATGTGAACAGTTTCAGAGCAATCAAATTGTTTATCATGTCAACATGGCCTTTCTCAGAAGCCAGAAGAAATGGCTTTTTACCTTTCTAGAAAACAATTATGAAAAGAAACATAGTGTTAGAGAAAGTAGAAATACTTGCTTCTGGTTACTAGATTCATGGCATGCATATGTGTACCTGTATCCTACATAAAAATGTATGTATCATAAGACTAAGGAGATTAATAGAATAGTAGATATACACAAGAAGATTAATAACTAAAAATACATAGTTAGTGTAAATAAAAAGATTATACATCTTGCATATCCTGAAGAAAATATATGAAAACCATTTAGAAATGGTGAAAATGTAGAAATTATGCTCAAAATATTTAAATCTTAATTCTTCTCAGTATGAAAATATTTATCAAAAGAACGTTAAAAGTCTGAGGATGCTCAGAAACAGGCAGTAAAGAAAATTGCAAGATTTATTTACGTGGTGTAACATGTATGATTTGAATTCTGCAAGCACAGACCAGAATTAACATATCTCAGAAGTTTCATCCTGGAGGCCTGAATTTAGAGCTACAAATTTTGGGGTTTTTTTGGGTGGTGTCTAAATTAACAAAAAAATTTCAAACTGTTTACAATTCAACTGCAGAAAGTTATCTTCACGTAAAACCATACCACTGTTCAGACAGTGAGGTACTTAACCAACTAGTTAAAACACCCTCATTTCATATCTGATAGTGGCCTATATAAACATGTAAGAAAAAGAAATGCAGGCAACTAATAGAGAATTATGAAACAACCTCAACAAAGAGAAGATGCTTCTTCACCTTTCTTTTCCCAAGGCCTAAGACAAAAATGTTTGTTTTGTTAAATTAATTCTGTTTTGTCAGTCTCGTCATGTGTAAAAAGAATTCAGAATTTTGGGTCAATAAAGTTCAAGACTGAAAAAAAAAAAAAGAAGGGAGATCTGTTCTTTTGATGACAGATCTCACAGGAATAAGTTTTCCTCATGAAAAAATAAAATATCCTATTTAGCTATGTAAGCTTTCAAAACAAGATCCCAACACTGTGGAAAGGGAAAATAAAAACACAGCAAACCTGATGAGGATGAGGTTCTGGCACTGTTGAAAAGTTGGTGCACCTTTGTAGAATGGCTGCACAGAGTTTTATGTTCTATCTTGAAAAAATACGCCCATGCTGGCCATAACTGGCAGGTTTTGGTAAGGGCAGGGGGCTGCGTGGGAGGACATCAGAGACTGCCCCTCCATAGCCATTTACAGCTGACTCCACAATGGAATGAACTGACCCACCACGTGCCAACACTCAAGCCATCAGAGGAACACATGATATCTCTGTGAAAATGTATTTAAGAAAGGCTGGTCACTGCTACAGGGAGGAGGCACAAGGGGAGATACAGGAGGAGACATGAGAGGATGCAAGAGAGGAGACACAAGAGAAGGTACACCTGCAGGGAGACTGCAGCCCATGGAAGAAGCTTCCTGAAGCAGAGGAAAAGAGTAAGAAACAAAGAGCAGAAAAAAAGGAATCCACTGTGGACTGGCCCCAACCTCCTCTGCCTCCCATTGCCTCACCAATGCAATTGAACTTCACATGCAGCAAAAGCAAGGAGAGCAGGGAAGGAGAAGTTTCTGCAGTTCAACTGAGATAATCAAAGAGGGAGAAAAGCTGTTTTCTCCAAGTGCTTGTCTGGCTGTTTGTTTTACTTGTTTCTCAATATTCAAGTCAGTAATTAAAAGTTTATGTAACTAGCAATAAATTAAAATTAATTGAATTTCCCCAAGTCAGGATTGTTTTGTCCTAAACAAAAGCCTCATGACATCAAAGAAATAAACAGAAAGAAACACACTGTACCGCATCAGGCTTGTTCAAGTCATTCAGATGAAGTTCTTGGAGAAAATAATCAACTATTTTAACGCTGTTGTTCTGAGCCGCAAAGTGCAGTACATTCATTCCTTCCTGAAAAAGCATAAGTGACTCTGTAAGAACAAGTTTGATTTTTTTCCCAAACAAACATGTTTAGAGTTCATAAAAATTTGTCATAACAAACCTCATTCTTAGCCTTTTGATCAGCACCTGCTTTAACTAATTTTCGCATTATATCCAGATTTCCAGTCCAAGCTGCAAGATGAATCACTGTCAGGCCATGCTTCAAATAAAATTACAAAGACAGAAATTACTGTTAGGAATTGGATTTTTTAATTGCCTTAAAACATTGCTACTGTAGCAAGCTGTGCAAAGAAGCCTCATGCCAGGAGACTGAAGACAAAGGCTGAGGGGAGAGGGCCTAGCCCACAAACTCTTAGCTTTGTGGAGGCCAGTGGGGAGTCTCTGAGTGTGTGATGCTTACCTCCTATGAGCCAGACCATTTCAAAGGGGTTCTTCTGTGCACACACCCACCACTACCCCAAGAAGGCCTCATTCTGAGCAGGAGTGCCTCTGAAGCAGCCCCCCACCCCAGCCTAAATGACTGGGAAAAAACCAGCACCTCCAGCCTCTGACCCAAAACTTACTTCTGTCTTGCAGGGTGGATTGCAACAACTACTACCAAAACACCTCACACCAAATTTCTTTAAATCTTTCTGATTAATTCAGTGTATCAGGTTCTGCAGAGCAGAAAAGCAATAGAAAAGCAATATTAACACCTAGCAGAATGAGTGGAATTAAGGAAAATGTAATGCAACAAGACTTAGTTAAATGTTCAATGTGTCCTCTTCTTGACAGAAGGTCTGGCATCTCCAGAGAAGGACTGATCCCATTTTAAGGAGGGGTGGGAGGAGGGGAGGGGGTACTAAATACTACTTGCAAATTATTCTCTCTCTCTCCAGAAACTATGTAGATATTTAGCCCTGGGTGCAGCGGATGACATTTCAGGTGACTATATGTAGTGGCTCTAAATCCATGAGTCACCATAATTTTCCATTTAGACTTTTTAAGGTTCTTTTCTCTCAAATTCTCTAAAAAATATTTCTATTATAGGGGAAAAAAAGAGAAAAAGGAAAAAAAAAAAGAAAAAACCCCCCTGTTTTTAACTTAGAAACAAAAGGGCTAACTCTACTCTGTGCTGATGCAGCCTCATCTTGAGTCCTGTGTGCGGTTTTGGATGCCACAATACAAGAAGGATATAAAGCTGTAAGAGAGTGTCTGAAGAATGGTCACAAAGATGGTGGAGGGCCTTAAGGAGAAGCCATACAAGGAGCGGTTGAGGTCACTTGTTTTGTTCAGCTGGGAGAAGAGGAAACTGAGGGGAGACATAGCAGCCTCCAGTTTCCTTGTGAGGGGAAGTGGGACGGCAGGTACTGATCTCTTCCCTGTGGTGACCAGTGACAGGATGAGGCGATAGTGACTTCAGGGTACTACTTATAAACTATTCATTGAATAAGAAAACAGTACAGGATGGAAGAGACTTCTGGAGGTCCCACTGCTATAGCCTCTTGCTCAAAGCCTGTCCAACCAGATTAGGTAATTCAGAACCTCCTCCTGGCAAGCTTTGAATAGCCTGAAGATTAAGACTAAAAAACTCTCTGTAAAATCTGTTTCAGTGTTTGACCACCCTGACGGTGAATTTTTTTTTCTTCTTCTATCTAACTAGGAGCTCCCATGTTGCAATTTGAGACCATTGCCTCTTGTCCTGTCACTGTGTACCTGTGAGAAGAGTCTGTCTGTCTTCTCTGTATTCTCCCCATATGTAGCTGCAGACAGCCATAAGATGTCCCCTTTACCATTCTTCTCCCAAGGCTGAGCAGGCTCACCTCTCTCAGCACCTCCTCATACTCAGTTCTAATCATGCTGCAGTTCTAATCATCCTAGAGGCTCTGCACAGGACTACAGTCTATCAGTGTCTTTCCTGTATTTGCAGAAATTGCAGTGGAAAACAGTGGAGGGCAATACGGAACATGTATCTGGTGTGCAGGCTATGAGACAAATCTAGGCTTGGGCAAAATTTGTGACTCTGTCTCAAAAATCTGCCCTGAAAAACCTTCCTAAGTATGAATAAGGAGAAAAAGTAACTAGAATTGATAGCCTTACACAATGAGACTAGTGGATGAGGGGAGAGACATGAATGTTTATCTCAACTTTCGTAAGAGTTTTGACACTGTCCCTCATAACATCCTTCTAGACGAACAGAAGTACAGTGTAGGCAAACAGGTATACCAAGTTGTACTGAAAGCCAGCTGAACTATCAAGCCCAAAATATTCTTTGATTAGCAACACAAAGGCCAGATGGAGGCCAGTCACAAGCAATGCACACGTTGATCCTGGGTCCAACACTGTTTAACATCTTCATTAATGACCTGAATGATGGGGCAGAGTGCACCTGCAGCAAATTTATAGGTGGTATTAAATTAGGAGGAATGGCTGATAGACCAGATTGGTGTGCTACAATACAAGGGAACCTTGACAGGCTGGAGAAAAGGCCTGGTAAGAAGATAATGAAATTGTACAGGGGGAAATCCAAAGCCCTGTACCTGAGGAGAAGCAAACTCAGGCAGCAGTACTGACTGGGGCCAATTGACTAGAAAGCAGCTTGGCAAAAGAGGACCTGAGGCTCCTGGTGGACATTAAGTTAAACATGAATCAGCTGTGTCCTTGCAGCACACAAGGCAAATTATATTCGTGGTTGCATTAGGAAGGGCACTGCCACCTGGCCAAGGGCAGTGATCCTTCCCCTCTACTCACTGGTGAACCACACCTCTAGTATCGTGTCCAGTTCTGGGCTTTCCAGCGTAGGAGGGACATGCCCGAGGGACATCTGACATGTGAGAAGATGTTTAGCAACATGGGACTGTTTAGTCAAAGAAGACTTGGGTGGATCTTATCATTGTGCATAAATACCTGATGGAAGGGAGTGAAAAAGAACCATCCAGATTCAGTGGTGTCCAGTGACAGGGACAGAGGCAATGGGCAGAAACTGAAGCACAGGAAGATTCACTTCAACATAAGAAAAATCTTTTTTGCTCTAATTATGATAAAATACTGGAATCAACTTCCTGGAGAGGTTACGGGGTGTCCATCCTTGGAGATAATCAAAACCTGGTTGGACACAGCTCTGAGTAATCTGCTGTAATCAGGAGGCTGGACTAGGTCATCTCCAGAGATTGCAACCTCACCCACTTTATATGATTCTCTCTGTGTGCTATTTGGCAGAGGGGAGCCCGGGAGGAGAAAAGGAAGTACAAGGGTAGGAAAAAGGTGGGCAAAAGAAAAGACAAAAAAAAAGGCAAATAAGGCATAAAATCATATGGAAACCAAAAACGTGGAGAATCGTGTGATTGTGGACTCCTGCGCTAAGGGTGATAAGATGACCTGCAGACCCAAGCTCTCTCCAATATAGCAAGGGACTGCCTTGAACTCTTCATTGGGTCCACCTCTGAAATAGTTGGGATGGTAGGATGGATAAGAACAGATAAACTTCTACCTTGATATTAAGTGCAGAAGGACAAGAATTGCAGCTTTGTATTATAAGATCTCTTTGCAGTAATTCTGTATCAATGCTAAAAATGGTAACAAGCAATAAAATTGTAACTCAATCACTGCAGCTTGGGATTGATACAGTTGTGAATTATCATCATCATCATGGCTGGGCTTAGCGAAAGAAGATTAAGGAAGGCTCTATCCACATTTGTTACAGGTACGCTGGTGGCTAATGAGGCCAATACGAGATAGACGTATCCGATTGCAAAAGGCACAGCAGAAAGACTCCTTAGGTGGTGTATTCTGCAAGACACGGTTCTTTCTGTGTTGCCTTTTCTCCTCGAGAGTGATCCTGTGTGCGTTCTCAAAGGAGACAGCTGTGTTATAGATGGTGTGTCTCCAGGCCTCCCTATTTGAGGCCAGAGTAGATCAGTTATGGTGATCAATATGGCCAAGGCTGAGATGTTGCTTCAGGGAGTCCTTGTATCTTCTCTTTGGGGCTCCTCTCTTGCGGTAGCCGGTGGCAAGTTCACCATAAAGCAAGATCTTAGGGAGGCGGTGGTCCTTCATCCTTGAGACATGCCCTGCCCGTCGCAGCTGTGTTCTCAGCAACATGGCCTCAGTACTTGTGACTGCTGCCTGTTCTAGAACAGATGTATTGGTCACATAATCTGACCAGTGGATGTTTAGGATTGTGCAGAGGCAGCGTTGATGGAAGCGTTCTAGGAGACACAGGTGGTGGCGGTAGATGACCCATGATTCAGATCCGTATAAGAGAGTAGACAACACTATGGCTCTGTAAACACTGATCTTGGTACTTTTCTTCAAGTGTTTAGTTGTGAATTAGTACTACTACTAATAATACTATTAATACTAATTAATAATACAATTAATAGTGGTGTGTTTATTGCCAATTCCTTAGAAATATGTTTCTTAATCAATAAACATCTTAACTACCTCCATGAGTTACATCAAGTCTCCAGTCTAGAGATGGGAGCAACACTTATCTGCTGCTAGGAATGCTGTTCTGTGTTTTTAGCTTATTTTTTTGTACTGAGTAGTATTAAGAGGGCTTAAGACTTTATGCTTATTAATACGAAAAGTATACCAGAAATCAAGTCACAATGTCTTCACGCTATTTCTTATCAGTTGCAAGATCAAACTGATTGCCAGAGAGTACATGAATCACTGCCAAATACAAAATATAATGTCATAATATTTAAGTCCTGTAAGCTAACTGTGATGGAGCGTCTCTAATGGTCTTTCAAAACGATGATAAGCAACATCTAAGAATTAAAGACACTTAATAATTTAAGGGTAATCTTTGGTTAGAATGAGATTCTAAATGTCTAATAGGAACCCCAACATGCGTGGAGGGTTCCACTGTGGCTTCAATGCAACTTATCAGGGTAATGAAAGGACCAATAATATGTTTTGAGTCCCCTCATTGCCTCAATAAATCTGAAAGATGGCTAGTGAAAAATAATTTGCCATAAAGGATAATTTACAATAGATACAGAATAAAATTTACACTATACCCACTGGTACTCTGTGGAAGATCCAGGGATCTTAACTGTTGGAGAGCACTAATACTTGAAGAAAACTTCTTGCAGTACTTTTCCATTAGCATTTATATTATAGACAATTAGCTTTAAACTTCCATTCAGGCAATGTCTTTCAGCTTGTCAGACAAATGGGAAACGTTGCTTACAACAGTGCAAGATCTGCTTAGGAGTTGATAGGGTCCAGAAGGAGGATATATTTCTTCAGAGCAGCATGTGAGGTATTCACTGACAGAACAGCTCAGGAGCACATTTCAGAGCAACTCAACCAGCATTAACAAGGAAATGGTTACCTACACTGCAAGAACATGCCAAAGCCATGAGCCACTGATAACTGCAACTGACAGATCTCTCTCATCTTATTTTCATTCCAACATGATGTGAAAACAAGGCAGCTTTCTCCCTCCACTCTCCACAACCCAGCATTTATCTTATTTAAAACTTAAACACTGCTGCATATGGTGGATAAGAAGTAAACAGCAGAAAAAAGGTAAAGGTAAATTAATCAATTTTCATTACTCAGTTCAATGGAAAACTCCTGGTTTGAATAGCATGTTTATTAATAACACACCAAACATTTGGTTTTAATATCTGACTCAAATCTTGCACTGTGGATCACCATCTAGCCCAAGCAAATCAGCCATACATGGATAAACATTTAACATCTTGGAGGTTGCAGAGCAGCTGACAGTTTTGCATTAAGCTACTCACATAAAAATGGAGGAAAAGAATACAAGGAGTACTTTCTGAGCTGCTAGCTATCCCCATAGCTCATTTTTACTTTCAGTGATCGCTTTCATATAAAGTGGCCCATGATTAATTTACAATTACCACAGGCAGTGTATTTGTACAAGTGGCTCTAGGCATCCTTGCCTTGTGCCGACTCAAGTATTTAACTTAGCCAGTATTCCAGGCAACATGTTTTTCTCTAACAATGTTTTTTCACATAAATGTGTGAAGTTCTAAGGCAAATTGGAGTTTTAACAGAAAGCATTTAACTTTGCATAACTGGGAGGAGAAGATAAATATCTACTTTTACTTTTCTCCTAAGGTGTTCCTATACTGTGTGAATCAAAACAAGCAACAGAGCTTACCTGATCTGATATGTCAAGCCTAGCCTTGTGATGAAGAAGAAAATCCACCACTGACACATGACCTCCCGCAACAGCAAAATGGAATGCAGTGCGCTTCAGCTGAAATAAGCAAAGTTTTGTTTGTCAGGTCTGTAATACAGTTCTTTTCCCTGTGCAGGTGATCAGGATTTTGGAATTCTCTGATTATTACCAAATGTATCTGTTACTATATACTATTTCATATTTCTCTTTCAACAGCCACACTAGGTCTTTATCTACATTTTTGTTCCCTTGTGGATAGAATTTAGGTATCGATCTTGAGAGAATTCTTTTAAAACCAGAATGGTTTAGTTAGTCTACATAGCATTGTTCCTTCACTGAAATGTCAAAGTGGGATGAAGCATCAAACACTGCCTAGAGTAGAGGAATGCGGTACAAGAAGCATCCTTTTTTACTATTTTATTATATGGATTGATTTGAAAAGCTGAGAGCTAGATTTACACAATTAGATTTGCTTCTTGTATCCTCCTTTTCACTAAATCTCTGCAAAGCATGACAAGAATTCTTCCTCGTTCAGTGTTAGTCACCTTCCCAGACTGAGTCATTATCTACGTAAGTGAAAGCTACCATCTTGCCTGCAGTGAGTAATTTTACACACGTAAATAGGTTCAGTGCTTATCAGGAAGACTTGATTAATTGTTCTGTAAAGTAATTAATGGCCTGATTTTAAAAGGGATTGTTAAATTGAATTAAACTTTAGTGGAGGGAGTTTGCTTTCAGTTAAAGTCAACATAACTGGCTTTAATATAATTCACTAATAATTTCCATACAAGGAAGTATAAAGAGATCTAACCAATTAACTTTAAAAGTAGGTTTTGATTTGTTCTCTTATTCATCTCTGCAGATCATCTGACTTATTCATGTATAAGTTTAAATTTAAAGTGATATGCATTAAGAACATAAAAAGGTGGGATTCACAGCGTATTTATGCCAGAAAAAAACTCTTGCACAGAAATAGTACTATAAAAACTCACCTTTTGACAGCCTTGCTTATTTGGCTTGGGAATACAGGGGAAGGAATGATCAACATGAACAAAAAGAATGGCTTTGCTAGTATAAGCTACACCCCTATTAGGAGAATCAATCAAAGCACAACCCCCACATAGCTCTCTCATAATACAAGTGTGATTTAAGTATGACAGAATAAAGTTTCAAACTACTTGACTGGAAATGTATTTAGTTTAATTTCCTAAATTCTGGCAAGCAATAAGGAAGCAAGAACTATTTTACATGACTTTTTAGAGTACTATGCAATTGATGGGAACATTCTCACCATTCAAAAGAAGTTTATACATAAGAAAATTTTGTCTCCCTCTCTTTTTCACAAACAAACCAGAGAATTCACATGTACTATTCAGCATTCTCCAGTGCGGGAAAATGAACATGGTCATGGGAAAGAAAGTTTTTTTAGAACCTGTGGTTAACTTTGGATGTTCATGGATAGATGATTTATATGTAGCCACTGAGGGCATGCTATTATCCACAACTCCCAGTTTAATGTCATGACCACTCTGTTGCTGTTGAACTACTTCTCATGTTGAATACAACATTATATTTTGTTACTGTGTAGTATACATCATCAGATTTTAGGCCCAGAGTTCAAGGCAGCATAAGAAAAGCATTTTCATCTCTCTGGGCAAAATCTGAACTCTGATCTCAGCCTGGAGCTAGAGGATGTGATAGAATGTTTCCATGGTTCCATACAAACCAAAGGGTAATACTTCACCCTTGAGATTTGTGATGTTAGTAGCAAAAATTCATTCTTAATGAAGTAAAGTCCTCCCCCTCTAAAAGATGGGGAACTTGAGAAACTGGTCACCCAAGAACACTGAGGAAATATTATAGTAGGGACACAATTGAGAAGTCCTTATTTCCCAGTGTGATACCCTGACTAGTGGCTAAATGCAAAAACCTGTGAGTTATGCTGCACAAATCATACTGTTCATGATGGATGTGTGAAATGTTTCTTAATTAGGTCCTAGAGGGGACTCCCACAGTTCCACCACCTTGCAGTTGATGGGGTACACCAACATGCTGGCATTCCACCAAGCAATCCCAAGGAGTCACGTTTCATACCAGTGATCTGTCAGGCACTTCATACTCACAGTATCTACAGCATTTAAATTAACATTCTTTTTAAACAGCTTTTCCATGGTTTCCAAATTGTTAATTTTAGCAGCATATTGAAATTCTCTCTCATCTGGCAATACTGTGGAAAAACATGATGAAAAAATTGTATTATTAAAAAAATAACCACAACCAACATAAGGGTAATGATACTTTTCTTACTTTCTGCTATTTGTCCTGATTTAATGTTACAAGAATAATTTGCTTCTCATCATAGGAGTGTTTCTGGACTACCTTTTTCTCCTCTAGAAGTACTTGGCTAGTGTTTGTAGTTTCAAATGTTAAGTGCAAATAAAGGTAGTTCTGAAACATTTCAGAACATGGATTACCTTTGTTTGCACTGCTCACGGGAACAGTTCTTTTACAAAGCTCTTGCCATCTAAATGGGTCCCAAATTATTTTATAGGCATAACAGTGAATGGTACAAACTGCAGCATTTATTTCTTGTTCTTTTGAGAAGCTGCTCTGTTTTAAAACACAACACACCACCAAAATACAAAAAAATCTAAAGCAGTAACCGCATGGCATGACACAACTGGAAAAACAAAACAACTGAAACCAACCAAACTAACCACGTTTTACAGGGGGCAAAAAGAAACAAACAAAAAGGTGTCTACTCTAACCCAAAATCTGGTCACAATGTGACATTCACTTTTAAACTGAGATCTTTCCTCAACATCTCAATTCAAAAATGAACATCTGTTTGGTCAGCTAAAGTAGCTGCAACAGCATGTTCAGTAACTTTGGAAAGTAATATGCCAGTACCTTACAACTGGTTTAGCTGGGGGTCAGAGTATTTTTCATGTTTCTACCTTAACATTTGATTAATCACTTAGAAGAAAATAGCATAGCGGTTAAATCACTTGCAAAAAGTTAGTAGATATCTTTAATTCCCTAGCGTATCACACTTGTAATATAATTACTTAGACATCTTCTGTCTAGAATATTTTGCCCTGAAATCACTTGTCCAGTGATACCACCAAAGAGGACAGCACTCTGTTGAACCAGGAACTGCAGCAATTAACTATTCCTTAGAGGCCTCTCAGGCAAATTCATCCTACTGCATTATGTCTAAGTTCATTAATGCCTAATAAGAACACAGCTTGGGGCAGTATGACTGCAGAGCATACTAAGGAAAATCAGCATAGCATTCACTTAATTGCATTTCACACGTTACTCATGGCTATAGTCTCAGGGGGAATAATCACAGTTGTACTGTAACAGAATGAGTTAGAAATTAAACTGGATACTTGCAAAGGTATTTCCAGTTTTCCTATGAAATTATCCAAGCACCTCAAACAAATGAAGCAACCTCCCAAACTTCTCTGCAAATCATAGAATATGTTTTGCTTGTACTACAACATGGGGGCACAGGGGAAAATAAAAAAAAGAAAAAAAGCAGTTCCAAATAAAAAGGCACCCCTGGCATCTGTGACAAGGAGCATGTCTGACTGGAAAATCATCATTATGAACTTTGGGATATTTGATCTATGAACAAAAGAATCTTTAAAGAATAAATTTCTTACTCCTAGTTTACATAGTCATTACCCTAAAGAAGTATCCAGTAGAGCTTTCCACTAACATAATTTCAATTCAGATAACAAATGGTCAGAGGACACCTTGCTCAAGACAAATCTGTGGCAAATGTGGAAACAAAATGTACAGCACTAAGTAGCTGCAATTAGTTACAATTAGGCCACATTTGTTACTGCTGATGAATATCACACATATGTCTTACTTGAGAATGCAAAAATAAATGCACCTCAGGACATTCATGAACAACCCCAAGCGTTTACTCAACACTGCCTTCAACAAACAAGAGAAAATTATGTTTCTTTACTGTATCTGCATCAGACACAGTACTGCAAAGACAGTTCTGTTGTAGTTCTGACAAAGAATTAATAACTGATCTTTTCTCTCCTGTCCAGGCTGTTAAAAAGACCTTCTGTTCCGGACATCATGTTTCTTAATAATCCCTCTCTTAATACCTCTTGTTAATTCATGATTTAAGAACAGTGAGAATCCAGACACGCCATGACACTGATTTGTTGCCCAAACTTTTGCTGCTTTTTGCAAACTGATTTTTTTTCCCACGTATGAAATCACAGGAGTACAGAGCTGTCAGACTACAGATTTATGGAAGCTCTGGGGTCTCCAGGACTTGGCACTCCTTGTGTTACCAGTAACCACTCTATTTTCAAGTAACGGTAGCAATCAATTATCTACTTGAGGTTGTCAGGGTTTTTTTTGGGGGTATTTTCTATGGCTTCATACAAAATGTATGGCTTATTGCCCTACAACTTGTATAATAACTGCATATTTATATTATAACAATAAAATAGTAATATTAAATTTCCTTTGTAGACAGTCCTGGCAGCAGTATATTGAATGTCCCAACATTGTTCATCTCTTAGAAGGGCAAGAAAATAAAAAGTGCAGAAACGTAGATAGCTTTGTTGGTCTCAAAACAGAAAGTGAGGTACCTTCAATTCTTTTCTCATACTTATGTCTTAGAGGCCTCATTCTGTCTTTCAGTAATATCACAAATATGGATGATTTCCAACGAAGTAAAAAAGTGCAGCAGAGATTTCAGTACTTACAGACTATGAAAATCCCTGCATGTGTGTGTTCCCCCACCTCCCCTGTCTAATTTCCTGCTCTGGTGTCCACACAATGAAATCCAAAATTATCTCAAAAAGTACATGGAAAAAAAACCCAAGAACTTGAACTGGCTAAAGATTTCAAGGAGGTAAAATAAAAAAATAACACCATTTAAATTCAAATGGCAATAAAATTGTTTCTAAAAATTAAGTCATATATTTAATCATTTGACAACCTTTTCAATGTTTCCTTTGTTTTCTTGTTATTGGAAATAAAATTTCTAGGGCAATTCATGAGAATCTTTTTCTAAAATAGTAATTTTCTGATTCAAAGAGGTCATAGGAAAATCCACCGAGTGCAACAGTGATATTTTATCGATTTCTTTCCCTTCTCGCCCACTCTGCCAGCCTGGAAGCAGGAACTACAGCCCAGGAGAAGGGCTCCTGGTTGTCACGCTTCGATCACAGGACCGGGGTGAGGCAGGGTTTAACAACTACCGCTCAGTTTCCACAAATCAGGTCTTTTCACTACTTGCAGTCTACTCCAGAGCAGTCTGGCCTTTCACAGACTGGTGTGCAGGATGAAAGCTGGAGAGTTCATCACTGAGACTTGTGTTGCTGAGTGCAAGGTCCTCTGATTTCTGTGTCCCCAAAATGGGGGCCCAGATCGGCTGTGGGACTGGTGGCAGGGGTTCAGCCCCAGAGACGTGACTGATGCCAGCGAACGCCCCCAGAGCAGGTCAGGGGTGAAGCAGGGCACTGGGCAGTTTGCAGGACTTCTCCTTTGGAAGGCAACATGTCAAAATCAGCTTCTGACCCCACATCCACACATTTACTGATGACTTTCACTACATGTAAAGGAGCTCATGTTTAACCTTGTCCTTTCCAAACCCCCACCGCTCATTTTGTTCTTAGGTCTAGGCAAAAAGCGGGTTCGAGAGGGTGCCACCGCCCCGGCAGCCCTGACGGGGCTGTGCCCGCCGCACAGGGGCCCCGGGGTTGCGCTGCCCCCCGGGCTGCCTCGCCTCCAACCCCCCGGACTCACGGCCCTCATGGCTGGCTGCCATGGCTCCCCGCACAGCATCTTCCTCGGTGCGGAGCAGGCGGCTCAGACCCTTCATCGTTGCCCCTGGCTGCTCTTCCTCCTCAAGCAAGGGAAGGGGCCTCAGGTCGGTGTGCGGAGGGAGGTGCCCTGTGCTGGCCTCGACAAACCGGTTCTGGGGCTCGAGGCCTCACACAGCCCTGCGGGCACACTCGCAGCACCACCCACCGCCTGGACGCATCGCCCCAAGGGGCAGAGGTGTGGAGTAGCTTCGGGAGTTTGTTCTAACAGAGACCAGGAATTAAATATACTGCATTTCTTGGCACCAGCTAGGCACTGAGCAGGATCATCCTTGCCCCATCCAACCTCTAGGTCTTCTCTAGCCTTATGTGCCAACAGCACTTGGGACCTCCAAAAGCACAGGCAAGACAAAAGGCAGTCCCGTTGCACCACAAAAACAAGTAACATTTTATTACTAATTACCAGGTAGTCATGGCTGCATTACTAATTACACAGTGGTCCCGGAGCTCTTTCTGCAGGTTGGAGTCCACTTGCGAGAGTTATTCTCACCACTGTCAATCAGTGTACACCGCACTGGGAAGCTTGACACAGCCTCAGGATGTAAGAGACTGAGGTGCCTCTGCCATAAATTTGTGAATAACTACACAAACGCACTAGCAGTTTTGATCCAATCACAATTTCAGGAAGGCAGTATTTTCATTTGCTTTTGTCAAAGTCCCATCAAAATAAACACACATCCCCCAAAAGGGTCAGTTTTTGTGAACTGACATGCTAAGATCCATCCAATCTATCTATTCCCCAATTTATCTTGCAGTCCACCATTACTTTGGTCTACTTAAGGCAGCACTGATATTTCATTTCACACAGACAATGATTTTTCTCAGGGCATAAAAATTGAGTGACTATCCTAAATTTTACTTTAACAACAGCTTTTGATATTGCTGGCATTTCAAAACAAATACTGGGAAAAGCATAGCTCCAAGAATGCAGGAATATCAATATTCTGCCTTACAAAACTGTAGACAGATTTGAGTTCCTTCAGTGTAATTTTTTCTTAGTAATTAAATTACACCATTATTTTAATTTCCAAGATTATAAACACGATACTTGTCCATGGTAAAATTAATCAGAAAGACTCAAGAGTTTGTAAACTGAGCAAATTTGGATACTAAACTATTGGCTCAGATTCAGCTTATCACAGATCAAAAAATTTCACAGTTCTTTTCTCCTTTAAACACTTTTGATACAGACAGGCTGTAATGTATAAAAATCTTTACATTTGATACACCTTAGTCTGATAGGATAATTACATCAACTGTACTTAAAGCAGATGAATATTACTCAGCTAAAAAAAACCTGAAACCCTGGGAAAATACACCAAGTGAGAAGAACAAGCAACTGATTTTATCACAGTTGAATTATGGAGGTTTCACTTTTTCTTGCTTCCCATCAAATGTTCCAGTAAAATTCCTTAAGAGTAAGTTTCACTTCTGTATGATGACTGGGCTAGTAATACAGACCCAGTGTTTTCAACATTAATGCTCCTTCTCAAAATGAGTGACCAGAGACAACTAGGAGTGATCAAATTTGCCTACAAAGCTGGCACCAAAGGAGGAACAGACCATGAGTTACAGTAAAATCTAATTTTACATACAGTCAGGAGACACCAGCTGCTAGTTTCCATTCTAATTACTAACATACAGTACTATTTCAGAGTATATCGTATGAGTACAACTACATGGGCTCAAATTTTGCAAATAGCAAGTTTACCACATTTTCTAACTACTTCCCACAATACTGACTCTTTCAAATAGCCCCAACAAACCACAGAAAGACTGATGTAGAAACCTACAGAGATGCAGAATCCAAAACAAAGTGCAGAGCAAGGAAGTAATGTAACATATTCCTCACTTGCCTTCACAGCATGTCTGACAGGAACTTATAGAACTTTCTGTAACATTTAGTATTAAAGTAACAGTAGTAGTAAATACATAAATGAACCAATATAAAGGTAAAATGGAAGACCCAAGCATGTTGAATAGTGCATAAAGGAGAAAAAGCATAAATTATCTCCTGTAAAAGAAGGTGAGATTTGAAGTCTAGTTAGTAAGTATTTTTTTATTAAACTGTGTATTAATCTTATTAAACTGTGTTCTTCTACTTAAAGTATAAAACTACAGGATTCTGAGCCCTGCAGTGCACGAATTCTTAGTCTATTCAACTGTAGCTCCTTACAGTTATCCTCATCCTTTATGGTTACAGCTGCCTGTTGCCACCGGCCTTTGCTTACAAGTAGTAATTAGAACAGTGAAATGGACAGGCCCAGCCTCAACAGGTGCATTGTATACAAATGGCATCAGAATGACATGGCACAGATCCCTGCAACACCAGCCAGATGACAAACCTGGGCCACTGCAATGGCTCCCTCGGCTGACTTGTGGGCAGTATGATTCTTAATAACTCCAGCCCTTGGCTCCGACCTGCAAACTACAATGTGTGAGAGGGAGATCGGGCTGTGATAAACCATCCCCAAAATAATTCCAAGGTGGATCAACCTACAGGGAGAACATGTCAAGCCCAAACTCTGTCCTGCTCATGTTTCTACCTGTTACCAACATGCTGCAGTCTGAAGGGGGGATGGGGCCATGGCACAGCACAGGTCCAGGACACAAGGTAGAGTGCAGGTAGAATCGTTTATTGAGGCATGCGCCGGATTCTTTAGCAGTTCAGGCGGGAAAGGGCCAGAATATAGGGTGGGGCATGAGACAGACAAACGGGGGAGCAAATCAGGATAGGGGCACAAGTGAAAGAATGTGGTAGTTTGGGCTAGGCCTTCCTTGGGACCAGTTTGTAGCCAAGGAAGGGCCCAGATTTACCCAGTATTCTCTACGATTTTTACGTAAGCCAGACTATAAGAAAAAAGGAGGGAAGGCCTTCGCTCTCTTTCCTTCCGGTGGCTTGGAGGTGCAGGTTCCCTGCTGTTGAGTCTGCCGTGTTGGGGAGCGAGGCCTGGTAAGGCCTTGCCGACCTTGGGAGGTGGAGGTTGCCAGCGATCGTCCTGGAGCGACTCTAGGTTGTCTCAAGGAGAGTAGTGAGATATTTCTTTGCTAACTCTTTTAGTGCTAGATATTGGGCTACTAATAGGGATACATATATATATTATTTTGGTTTTGTTCCTTTTATTTATATATATACTGCTATAGTCTCTTGTTTCGGTTTTTCTTGGTTGTTTTTCTCCCTCTTGTCCCTGAGGTTTGGGGGGGGACAACTTCTTGTGGTAAGGTTTGGAGACTTGGCAGGGAGCCAGCTTCAAACCATATCAGGAAGGAACATGGGAGGAACCGGGGAAATAAGGGGCGAATGGAGGCTGTCTCCTCTCTGCAGCTTCTCCAGCCAATCTGCAGGAAAGCAGGGAAGTGGACAAGCCTGAACATGTCCAGGAAATACAAATTCTGGGGAAGCATACAATGTGTAGATTCATAATAACTGTAAAGTCTGCATCATAAAGTCCTTTCAATCGCTGTACATATTTTTCCACTTCTGAAATTTTTCCCATTCTGATTCCTGGTCCTTCACACCAACACTTCAAAATTATAGCTCTATGACGCTCTACTTTTAAACAGATGGTAAGACAACTTTCAAGGCTTAGTCAAACCAACTTAATTTTTTCAAGCCCTTACAGTAGCTTAGTTTTTGCAAAGTAATGCTTACATAAAAATACACAATTTAAAGATACACACACAATGACAAGGTAATACTTAGATTCTACACTTTATTGAATCAGACAGATACAATAATAAAGGGAGAGGTGTTCACTTTCTAAACAGCAGTGGTAGCTTAATGTTCCCCCAGCTGCTTTTATGTCTTTCCTACCAAAAGTTTCCACCTCCCACCTCTGTCAACAGAACAGTTCATGCTGAATGCTCACTGACCTGGTTCAGAAAAAGTCAACTCAATCAATTTGCACAGTCTGAACCAGTCCAGCTGATTTGGTCTGAAGAAGGTAA